ATTTAAGGGAAGACCACTAGACTTCACTTCAAAATGTGCAGAAGAGCAAAGAACATGCTGTGCTTTACACTACATTGTTGTACAATTTTGTGGGGAGTGGTAACCAAGCTTACAGAGGCCCTTTCTCCCCACCCTACACACAAACACTGTCTGTTTTTAAAACTGAAAATTGAGCTGGGCATGATGGTGCATGCTTGTAATTCTAGCACTCGGGAGGCTGAGACAGGAGGATCTCTGTGAGTTCAAGGCCGTACTGGACTATAGAGCGATCTGTGATGCACGGTATTGGACCTCTTCCATCAGTGAGCTTCTCCAAATGTTTGAAAACTGTTAAATTTCATATGTTAGGGTTCTAAGAGGTTATTTTTACTCTAAGAGGATTCCAGTTTCATATTCGGAATTTGGTTTGTTTTAAATCAGATGTGTTTAAACTGTAAGCAGTATCAGTAAAACTTACTGTAGCGTTGGACCTTGAGACTTGATTTGTAGAATAGATGTGTTAGTTTAACGCATCAGAGAGTCTTTGATTTTTAGGAACTTCAATAGCAATTATATCTGATTTATTTTACCTTGTCCTATGTCTTTCTGAAGCTTACTACAGTCTTCAAATGTTTTTGTTTTTAAATTAATGTCAATATTTGATAAACTTAGAAATTTACTGATTTGATTTATAGAATTAAGATTTTTTAAATCACCTCAGAGAGGAAATATAAAAAGATAGCAATTAATTAGAAAGCATTCCTGCATTTTGTAGCTATGAGGAGCTACAAACAATGACTTATGCACCATTAACCGATAAAGCTTATCATCCACCCTGATTCCAAGGTGTCAAACTGAAGGGAGGGACCAGCATGCATATTTGAACCATTACCCCTCCCCATGCCTTTTGCAATGGAGGACTCTGCTACAGTATTCCACTTACAATGGAGAAGAGTGCTACCGTATTCCACTTAATGAATGTGGGCTTAAAATCATGCTGCTTCCTCTGACATAGTCCAGCTACGGCATTGGTAGAATCTGAAAGCTAGTCTCAGGTAAGGTTGCCAGATACAATATAAACTAGTCAGTTAAATTTTAATTTCAAATAAAACACTAATAATTGTGTAGCATAATATTTATCTTAATAATTTTAGCATGAGATTGAATTCAGTTCTAAGTATATCACATCAATGAATGTGCAGAGTTTTGACCACACTGATACCAAAAGGTTGTTTGTTGTTTATGTGGACTTTCAAGGCTAGGAGGATGCCTTCTGTTTTTATTTCTCATCAGGCAACTCTTTTCTCAGGAGGATTCCTCTTCATCTCAGGTACCACGATGCTTCAGGAAAGAAGCTATCTCTTGGGTATTAAAAAGTAAATACCCAAGAGATATTTTTTTAAAGGCACATTGTGAAATACACTCACAGGTAGAAGAAGTTGCAATGAAGTCAGTGATATTTTGGCAATGACTAAGATCAGACAGGAGAAAATATAGCTACAGATGCCTTCATTTAAAGTTCCACAGATGTTTATCAAAATGAAATTACTTAGAAGGTAAAAACAAAATTTTCAGTTGTATTATGTACCAAAACACTACCTTGGACTTTTCTCTAGTCTAAGGGAATTCTTACTTTCCAGAGATATGGTCATGTAGAACTTTTCTCTCAGCAAGTGCTTTGAAGAAAACTTCCCTGTAGTTAATGCTTTGAGGGAGTTCACCAAGGATGTGCCAAGCTCTTGGGGTAGGGGGCTTGGCACATACAAAAGCCAAAGAGCTGACAGCTTCAGGTGCAAGGGCTCACAAAAACACCAACAGGAGACTCAGTGAAGAGGTGGAGTAGGGGATACCTGGGAAATGGACACCCACTGTCTGAGGGGTCACGGCAGAGGAGACAAGGCCAGCAGCTCTGAGACAGGTAAGACTGAAGTTGGTGTTAAGACTTGCAACCTTAGTAAGCACAGTCATCCGCTGACTGGCCAAGGGCTTTCATTCCACCTCTGTGGATTCTGACCTTCATAGCACTCCTTCCAGCCAATCCTTGTTTCGTTAAAATGACGGCCCTGCATATTGAAGGTGAAGTGCACTCTTTAGGAAAACACCATTTCCAGTACTTTGGCTGAAGGAGAAGCTGCATGGTGCAAGAGCAGAGTCCACAGGGGACGTTCACTTCTGCCAGCTTCCTCCACGCAATGAACTCCACCGGGGATGGCACCAGGGACAGTGTAGGCTCTCAGCTGCTGTGGAGAGGGAATTGCCCTCATTTATGTGGCTAAAATTTCCAAAGCCAGACTGATGATATTACGTATTCTTCTACTGTTAGCTAAGTGTTCAAAATGCATTAAACTTCTGGCTGTCAGACAGAATTTCTCATGTAGGTGTAATGGAATTATTTTGTGTCACTTTCTGCAGTTTAGGAAGTCACTTATGTACAGGGGACAGGACAAGCTTGCTATTAAACACCTGCTTTTCATGTTTATTACAGGGAAAAAGCAAAATGAAGTGAGGAGAATACATACATTGTCCTCAAAAGTCTTGAATTCAAATCCTGATCATGCCCTATACACATTTCTAGATCCATGATTTTATATCAGAAAAAAAGATTTTATGTCATTTTCTTAAAGTCTGTATAAAACAAATACAGTGATATCCAACTGAAAGAATTTTTCTTATAAGCAAACAGAATTAAACAGAAAAGTATTTTGGGGAATTAGAGAATATTGTATAAATTCTTGGAATAAATGAGAAAATATCATCAATAATTGGTCGATCTTGTCTTTAGTGGTGACCAAGACATAGGACAGCACCCCTGTAATAGGGGATAGAAAATTCACTAACTGTGATTTCATGCTCCTTTCCTCAATGGTCTAATTCAAATACAGGTACTACTAAGATAAAATGGAATATAGTATAAGTAGTTTTGAATTATCTTATATTCCATGCAAGTAAAACAACACGTCCACTTGTAATAAATCCAAAATGTTTTACCATTGTAAATAAAAATCATCTGAGGTTGCAAGTTTGAGGTCCAGCAGGACAACTTAGGAAGACCTTATCTCAAAATGAAATAAAACAGGCTAGGAAGGTAGTTGGATGACACAGTACTTGAACCCAGTATGGGGCAGGGTGTGGAGGATGGTTTGTGTTATTAAATTTTTTGATCTTGTAAAAAATAAGACTAGAAAATTATATAATTCACATAACATAAAAATATATATTATTATTCAGGAAATATATAAAAATGAGGTGGGGGAACACATTTAATAAAGAGAAACAACCAAACAAAAAAAAATGTGGGTGATAGCTAGGACACAGTAGTGCTCACCAATAATCCCAGCACTTGGGAGGCTGAGGCAGGAGGATCACCACAAGCTCAAGGCCAGACTGGACTACATAGTAAATTCAAGGACAGTCTGCACTACATAGCAAGACCCTGTCTCCAAAACTCAAAACAGACCGGGGAGATGGCTCAGTAGAATAAGGTGCTTGCGCAAGGGCCTGAGTTCAATCCCCAGTTCCAGGAAAAAAAAACAAAAACAAAAACAAAACTCAAAACAAAAAAAGAAAGAAAAGAAAAATTTTAAGAAGGGAGAAAGTGGGCCACAAGGTAAATACATGTATGCAAAATTCTACTAGGTATGAAATTTGTCTTCAGTGAATTTACATGAATAAAATGAATGTTTTTGTTATT